CCTTCTCCATATCTCCCCTTTTCCTATCTAGTGCTTTCTCCCCTCGGCCCCCCACTTCTTGACCTCCTTCTACTCATCTTCCCTGTCCGTCGTACTCTTCCCCTTTCCCTTTCCCCTCTCTGTGTTTACTCTGTCTCCCCCTCACTATCACTGCACCCCCTCTACTCCCTCCTCTCCTCGCCTCCTACACTACTTCACACNGTGATGTGTGAGACTGTGTCACTATAGTGGATATGGGTGTTAGCATGTATTTTTGCCCTGTATTTTGTTCTTGGGTTCTGCGCATGGTGCCTGTATGGGTGCGCATGTGCCTGTTATGGGCTGCGTCAGTGCCTGTATGGGTGCGCATGTGCCTGTATGGGTGTGCATGTGCCTGTATGGGCGTGCCATGTGCCTGTATGGTGCGCATGTGCCTGTATGGGTGCGCATGTGCCTATGGGTATGTGCCTGTCATGTGCGCATGTGCCTGTATATGGGTGGCATGTGCCTATGTGCATGTGCTCTAGGTATGTGTCTGTGTTTGTGTTTGTATACATGTGTGTGATCCTGTGTATAAACATATGTGTGTGTACCTGTGTGTGCTTGTGAGTGTATGGGTGCGCATATGCCTGTGTGGGTGCGCATGTGCCTGTGTGGGTGCGCATGTGCCTGTATGGGTGCGCATGTGCCTGTATGTGCGCGCATGTGCCTGTATGGGTGCGCATGTGCCTGTGTGGGTGCGCATGTGCCTGTATGGGTGCGCATGTGCCTGTATGGGTGCGCCCTGTGTGGGCGCGCATGTGCCTGTGTGGGCGCGCATGTGCTGTGGTGCGCGCATGTGCCGCGCATGTGCCTGTGTGGGCGCATGTGCCTGTGTGGGCGCCATGTGCTGTGTGGCGCGCATGTGCCTGTGTGGGCGCGCATGTGCCTGTGTGGGCGCGCATGTGCCTGTGTGGGCGCGCATGTGCTGCGCGCATGTGCCTGTATGGGTGCGCATGTGCCTGTATGGGTGCGCATGTGCCTGTATGGGTGCGCATGTGGTGCGCATGATGGTGCGCATGTGCCTATGGTGCGCATGTGCCTGTATGGGTGCGCATGTGCCTGTATGGGTGCGCATGTGCCTGTATGGGTGTGCATGTGCCTGTATGGGCGTGCATGTGCCTGTATGGGTGCGCATGTGCCTGTATGGGTGCGCATGTGCCTGTATGGGTGCGCATGTGCCTATATGGGTGCGCATGTGCCTCTAGGTATGTGTCTGTGTTTGTGTTTGTATACATGTGTGTGATCCTGTGTATAAACATATGTGTGTGTACCTGTGTGTGCTTGTGAGTGTTCGTCCCAGTGTGTAAGCCTGTGTGTAAACCAGTGTTGCGTGTGTGCCTCTCTGTGTGTGACTGTGTATGTTACGGAGTGTGTGTGCGCCTGTGTGTCTCTCATCATCATCAGGAGCTAACGCCGACGGGGGCACATAGCCGCGTCCACCTTTTGGGATCCCTCATAGCAAGCCGCCAGGCAGGGACTCGGCCCATATCAAGCTCTTCCCGACAGGTTTGATCGATCTGCCCAAGCCATGACCTCCTAGGTCGTCCCACAGGCCTCCTCCACCCAGGGTTGTCCCTTACAGAGACAACCTGATGAGCAGGATCAGCCTGTGGAAAGCGAGCCAGGTGGCCATATAGCCTGAGTTGGCGATCACGGATTGTGCAGGTAACAGGTCCTGTGCCAGTCTCACGGTGCAGCAGTTGGTTAGCCACATGGTCCCGCCAATAGTACTCCATGATCCGGCACAAGGACCTATTACAAAAGGCATCAAGATGAGACTCCAGGCTACTGGATAATGTCCAGGTTTCACTACCGTAGAACAAAACTGGCATTATCAGGGCCTTGAAAACCCGTAGCTTGGTCCTTCTGAACAGGTACCGGCACCTCCAAATACTCTTGTCAAGAGAGTTCATGACCCCTGCTGCCAGGCCAATCCGTCTGCTGACTTCCTGGTCTGACAGCCCAGAGGTATGTAAAGCTCTCTGTGACCAATGTCCTCGCCGCAAGTACGTACCGACCAAACAGGTTCTCCTAGTAAGTCCCCAAAGTCCTGGATCTTGGTCTTGGTCCAGGAAACCTCTAGACCCAAGGGCTTCGCTTCATTACTAAACACATCGAGAGCCACTACTCGGGTTTCCAAAGACAAAGATAGAATAGCAACATCATCGGCAAAGTCAAGGTCTGTAACCTTAACACTGCCCGGTGTTGCTCCACAATGACTTTGAACAGTAGCTCTGCCTAGTATCCAGTCCATGCAAGTGTTGAAAAGTGTTGGTGCAAGAACACAGCCTTGCCTCATTCCTGAACTGACAGGAAAAAAGCTCGACAGGCCCCCACCACACTTTACAGCACTTTCAGTACCAGTATACAGGTTTGCTATTAATTCAATAATCCTTGTTGGAATTCCTCTCAGTCTCAGGATCTCCCAGAGTGATTCCCAATGCACTGTGTCGAACGCCTTCTTGAGGTCGATGTAGGCTGCAAGCAGCCCACGTCCGAACTAACGACGGCGCTCTACAATCACTCGAAGCACAAGGATAGTCTATTGTGGACTTACCAGGAGTGAATCCAGATTGCTCTGGCCTCTGATGTCTTAGTAGATGGTCTCTAATACGCCTCAGAAGGATGTGGGCAAGAACCTTGCCTGGTACACTGAGCAGTGTGATGCCGCGGTGATTGTTGCAATCCCATCGGTCCCCCTTCCCCTTCCAGAGAGGGATGACCACACTCCTCAACAGGTCAGAGGGAGCGGTACCGGATTGCCAGATGGCAGCCAGGACAGCATGCAATCCCCATGCCATAGGTTCACCACCAGCCTTTAACAGTTCAGCTGGGATGCCACAAATACCCGCTGCTTTACCACTCTATAGCTTGGAGATTGCCTCCATAACTTCAGTTAGGGAGGGTGGGTCCGGCAGAGGAATCACGGCACTACCAACATCCAAGTTAACTGTTGGAGGGTCAACCTGATACAACTGCTCAAAGTACTCAGCCCAACCATCCCGCACCGCAACAGGATCTGAGAAGATCTGGCCACCTAAGCGAATTTCAGTCACTTGTGAAGAGGGCTTGAAATTCAGTTTTCTTTGGGCTTGGTATGTAGGACGAAGGTCATTACTAAGAAATGGCCTTCGACATCCTCAGCAAGACTTCTAATAACCTGTTCCTTGTCCCTGCGCACCTGAGAACGGTGCAAATCCCAATCCCCTGCCAGACGAGCCGCACGGCAAGCATCCAGTGTCTCCTGAGAGATTAAATTCTGTCTTGCTCTCAGGCGTTCTCCAATCGATTCTTGGGCTGCATCAAGCGTTTCACGCTTGAAGGTGTCTCACAGAAGTACAGGGTCCGTCACATTGTCAAGTGCTGTGAACCGATCCAAGATTGTCTCAGCAAATCTTTAAGCAAACTCCCTCTCCTTCAGCCTGTCCAGATAGAACACCATAGGGTGGTCATTGGGCTGCTGGGGAGTTTTGAAGTGAACCCAGAGGGTAGCCACAACCAATCTATGGTCAGTACCACAGAACTCGGCACTCCTATACACCCTGCAGTTCTGGAGGATCTTCCAACGAGTGCTAACGAGAATGTAATCGATCTCCTTGGCTGCATTACCCGCATCGCTGTACCATGTCCAACAATGTGGGTCTGGGCGCTGGTACCAGTAGCCAGAAATCCTCAATTTCTGAGATCTTGCAAAATCCCGGAAAAGGAGGGAATTCTCGCTGCCGGTATCAACTCCCGAACCATGAGGACCGACTGACATCTCATAGCCAGCTCGATCACAGCCAGATACCGCATTGAAGTCACCTAGAACAATACGAATATCTCGCCGGGGATAACTGTCTGCCACAGATGCAAGTTTGGCATAGAACATCTCTTTCGCGTCAAGTTTACACACATCGGTAGGAGCGTACACAGCAATAAGAGACATGAAGCCAAAAGACAGCTTCAGTCTCATTACCATTAGACGCTCAACGACTGGAGTGACCTCTACCACCAAAGGCTGGAGCCTACCGGAGACATATATGGCTACTCCCTAAAGATGGTGACCATCGCTGCAGCCCGACCAGTAATAGGTGTAGCCACCTACACTGATCGTGCCGCTGCCAGGTCTTCTCACCTCCAAGAGAGCAGCCACCCCTACTCTCAGCCTCCCCAGTTCCCTCGATAGTAGGGGCAACCGATCATCCTGATGCAAAGAGCGGACGTTCCAAGTGCCCACCCTGACTACTCGCCTGAGGTTAACCCTCGGACAGTCGCCACCTCTGCCACACCCGCTGACGCTGCCCCACCTAAAAGCCGTCAGGCTGCAGGACCCATCATCCACCTGTGGGGTTCCCTAGGGCTTTGCCCCTCAAGCATCATATCAGGCTGGCGGCTACCAGAACGCAGGCGGGACGAGGAGCTCCCGTTCCCAACCTGCGCCCCAGCAGCCGCCCTCCCAACGGGTCCCGCAGCCCGCCTCTCTCGCTGGGTAGGAGGGACATTTCCCCTCCCCCCAGCATTTCCATTTAAGCGCAACACTGCCAGTGGGTTATTCTCTGGGGGGACTGGCAAGGCCCACCTTCCCCGAGCCTCCCATTGACCCCAGGGGGCTTAGGGGCAGGAGTTAGTACAGGGCCAGAGCGTATTCACACGCCAGAGGGCTATGACCCTGTACCTCTGGGGCCTCCTGCTGCTCCGAGATCCCCTACAGTTCAGCCTGGGACCGCAAGGTGCCAGTTGCCATGGGTGGCCACGGGGAGGCACTGCAGAAGTCTCGATGATGGAGAGGCTATGAACTGGCAGGGGAGACATGCGGCGCTGCTCCCTTTTTCGCACAAGGCTAGCCAGCGGTGGCAGCTGCAAGCGTGAAGGCATGCAAGCACTTAACACTATCTAGGCTACCACACCATCGCTTCACACCACCCTGCGCATGAAGCACCCATCCACCTGTGTGTCTCTGCCTGTGTAATTGTGTCTGCCTGTAAAATTCTGTGTGT